ATGAGAAGCTGAGTTGGGATGAAATGGTGCCCCGGTAGCGTAACTGGTAGTAGAGCACTTGCCCGGTAAGCAAGAGGTGCGAGGTTCTAGTCCCGTCTGGGGCGAAAGTTTTGTTCACAACCAAAACCTCATAAGTGTGCATTGGATTTTCCCATGGAAGGAACCCACATGTAACATTTGTGCATCGCCCGGTATGCAAATTGATTTTAAGCTCCCCTTATATCTTTTTTTATTACTTCTGTGACTATAGAAGTTCCACTAGTGCCTTCCACTAAACACATGGCTGCTCTCCATCTTCAATTTCAAGATACTTTTGGAACTTCAATTTGCACAACCAGTGCCTCAGTTTGAACCCTCATAAACTGTTTAACAATAACTCCAATGGCTACTAATTACTGAATATATTTTCTGATGAGAAGCCGAGCAAAAAATAGTAAGAAGCGAAAAGAAAAAACGAGAAAAAGTAGAACAAAGAAAGGACAAATACGTTGCCAGCCCAATGGGGGTTGCAGTTGAGATTGTGTGGGTCCTGTGGCGAAATACATGGGTCTTGTAGCGAGATATATGGGTCCTGTAGAGAAATTCCACAAAATGTCCCGAATGTGAGATTTGTGCATCGCCGGGTATGCACGCAGGTAATGCAGCTATGTCACATGTGTGACATGCGTCAAAATCAGTGCGGGCTCAATCAAAATCAGTCAATGTGTTAAGAATGTTTATCTTCTCATTTCGCCACAATTTGAAAGAGGTATCATACACCGAATTTTCAGCCCTGCTCCTGCACCTGCATGTCCTCCTCCGTGCCCACCTCCATGTCCTCCTCCGTGTCCACCACCATGTCCCGCTCCTGTTTCATCGGGATGCGGAGGCGGCGGCGGCGGCGGTGGATACCCAGTTCCTCCTCCACCACCACCATCTTACCCTAGCGGAGGTGGAGGCGGTTACGCTTCTGGAGGTGGCGGTAACGCTTATGCTGGAAAGTAAGAAGAAGTGTGGAAACGCGACTTAAATTGTCTGTACATTGGAATGCAACTCTTTTATTATTATATAAATATTGCTCAATATTATTATTGTATGTTCTACATTTGAGTTCCAGACATTATGTACAATTCAGAGCCGTTAGTCACTGCACATACCAACAAGCCTGGACAAATTATCCCACAAGAAAAAAACGCATTAATTCTAGAGCTTATCTAGCTGGGGGATCCAATATTTCAAACTCCCTCCAATGAAGGGCAAGTCGAAAAATGTCAAAATTCGCGTGACAAGTGTCACTGCGCTTTGAAAGTGGGCAACTCTCCGTTTCCCACGATTCTGAAACACTTACGTTTTCTTCTCGAGCTATGTTCTACTTTTTAGTTGGGTTAGCCCAACACATTGTTCACGTTTGGGTTGTATGAAGCGGAAAATAATACCTCCCAACTTATGAGGTTTTACAAGTATGCTGGGTCGTAAACGATACTTTCGCCTGAGGCGGTTCGAACTCGCACCTTTTTTGCCTAGCGGGACAGTGGCGCTACAAGTTACGCACCAGAGGCAGCCATTCTCCCAACTCAGCTTTCTCCGTGTGAGTGCTGACAAGCTATGGTACGTATACCATGAGAAGCTGAGTTGGGATGAAATGGTGCCCCGGTAGCGTAACTGGTAGCGCACTTGCCCGGTAAAGCGAGAGGTGCGGGTTCTAGTCCCGTCCTGGGGCGAAAGTTTTGTTCACAACCCAGCATTCTTGTGAAACATTCGCAAGGCGAACTGCGGCCAAAAACAGCAGTTAACAAACAATCAAACCATTGGTTGAAACCAGCTAGAATAACACATGCCTCCCATCTCTTCGAGTAGGATTTGTTAATACCCAACCTTTTGTAGGAAGAACAAAACAGAACAAATGAATGTGACACGAAATAGCTGGTGAAAGTTTGGGGCATGCTTCTTTGCTTTGATAGTTATGGTGCATTCTGAAGCGCAACCTTTGAGTAAAGCTTATACATGTGCAGGCCATAAGTGCACTGACATAAGGCTAAATTCCCTTTCAACGAGGCCTCAGGATATATTGGAGAACGCTGGAGCTGATTCAAGCCTAATTTCGTTTAAGAGTCATGGGTCAGACAGGATGAAGAGTCCAAACATTATTTTGAGGTGATTCTTGCCCGTGACCATATCTACTTCGAAATATTGTAGATTACATGAAGTAGGATTTCTCGACACGGTCGCGGAACGAAGGAGGGAAAGTTAAGTAGTCGAAAGGCAGGCGAACCTCCAAAGGTGCGGTGCGCGTTTAACGCTGGGCGGTTCTACGCATAATTCAAAATCCCGTTTGAAACCTGCTTATTAGCTAGGTGTAAGCACTATAAAAGCTTGGCATCAATTCAAACATACACAGTCGACTCTTCAGTTGTGTCTTCTCCATTACCTTCCAACAATTAGCCTACGGACATTGTTCGCTATCCGACACTGCTAAGAAATCCTTTTCTGATTTTAAAGTGATATTTGTGACTTTCAGAATGTTAAAGTACGCAGTCGTTGCCCTTGCAGTCTTTGCAGCTTCAGAAGCCTTCCTCTTCGGTGGTGGTGGTGGCAGTAGCTGCTGGTAAGTGGTTCATACTTGGATCCCCAAAGAACATCTGCCTCTTCTTATCATATACAAAATTGTCGTACATCAAAGCAATTTTCAGTCCTCCTCCAGCACCCGCATGTGCTCCTGCGTGTCCACCTCCATGCGCCGCTCCTGTTGCATCAGGATGTGGAGGCGGCGGTGGTTATGCTGGTCCTCCACCTCCTCTACCTTCTTACGGAGGAGGCGGTTTCCCCAGCGGCGGTGGAGGTTACCCTGGCGGTGGTGTCGGCGGCGGTTATGCGCCAGCCGGTGGCAACGCTTACGTTGGAAAGTAAGGACGTATCCAGGATCACAACTTATTTGTACATCAGATGTTCTATTGATTGATCTGTTCTATTTATCGTCAAGGGATGACATAAATTTTTATGCTCATCTATTTCAACTGTCACATATCGCAAAACGCGCAATTGGGTGCACTGGTGGACCCAAAACAGGTCTCTTCCGCTAATCTTTGGTGCACTCCTTTTACGCAGTCATCTTTGGCCACCTCACTCTTCTCAAAAGCGTTATGTGCAGAATGAGTGCCTTGTTGAACCCTGTCTGGTAAACAAGGAGCAAAAACATTGCCCAATTAAACTTTTAGCCTGACAAACTCCCTTGATTCTCTCACCCATACATCTAAAAAGTTCCATAATATAGCCAATTGGAACCACACTTGCTTATCTTGTGCCCTCTATAAAGCCTGTGATGCGAAGCCCTAAGGTTGTTGATAGCCCGTACACGTGCTTTACAACAACAAAACACTGACTGATCCATCCAAAGTGAACATCAACGACTGCGACTCTTCTCACCTCAACTTCCGCATGTAATGTCAGTTGTACCATAAACAAATGGCTTGATAGATGTCGAACTATAATGTACAAGGGAGGGGGGGGGCAAGAAAACAGTCATTCCTCCACATTTACAAGCCGAATTAGCTAAAACCTGCGCAAACAACACCAATTTACCAACCAACTTCATTGAAGACACATCTACTCTATCAGAGCGATAACATAGGCTCTACACCGACTCGCGTCGTGGGATTATACGGAAACCATAGTCACCGGTGAGAGATTAACGGATTCGTCGAGTAACCACAGAAAAATACGTAGTCATCGAAGTGCTGTCAAAAGCGGCACTGCATAGGCGCAGCTACGCCTGAGAACTATCACCAGTTAACACGCCCTTGACAGAATTAATGCAGCAAGCTTCACGGAGCGATTCCCCAGCTCCCGTGCAGCGCCAGTTACCTAATATTCGCCGCCGGGGCAAGAAGGAGGCCTGCTTCTGCTATAAGGGAACGCCGTAAAATATTCATTCACAAGCGACATCCCGGTGCGACAAAATTTACAAACGTGCGTATCTACAGGACCTTTTATTGCCTCCCCGTATTTCTTCGCCACAAACACATACGCAACTAAGTAAAACAACATCCCCATCACCGGAGTTTTGAAAAAAGAAATGATTCAAACGCCTCATCTAGAGCGTGCTCATAACCAATTAATTCTCGAATCTTATTTCCAAATAACGGGCGAGTGCCTCCCATGTTGTAATACCTCCGCGCACTGTCGGGTCTCGGACGCTGCCGCTTTCTAATACCTAACTTTTGATTTCATCGGACATACGTTTTTACCAGTCCTATTCTGAGCATGAAATAGCTTGTTCTGCAACAAAATTTTCCTTCTCAACATCGCGAAATTGTCGAGGAGCCTTTGTCCAAAATTTTCCCTTTTTTAGCTCAAATTGGCCGCAGCGGGCCGCGAACAGAATGCGACATTCGGAAATTTGCCTAACAAATTCACTATTCTCGTGTCACATTCATCATACCGTCCCATTTAAAATCTTCCTTTGAGATCGGTATTAATAAACCACTCGAGAGAGAACATGTGTATCCAAGCTGGTTTAACCATTTGTTGATCTATGCCGACTAATACAGTACGTCCAAAATTTCGCCGCAACCGGTTTTTCGGATTCACTTTTTGCCAAAAAAATCCCTGTGCCTCCGACAGTTTCTTTTGAGTTTCTGATTCCCAAATGAAATATACAAAACACTAGGGAACTACAACAATCTTGATGTTGCTCCAATTCCAGAAAACATCATTCCATAAAAATCGTTGGCGAACACTTGACCGCACTGCAAGGTACTGTTTCTCTACGCTCCAATATTCGGAATACGTGCACAATGTGCAGGCAAAGAGTAAATCATCTAAAAAGCAATAGAATTTTGCTCGAGAGGAAAATGTAGAGATTTCAAAATTGAAGGAAGCTGACAATTCCCACTCCCACACCACTGTTCGAAAGACTTTCCATCTCTCTTCCTCTTCGAAACATTTGGAGCTATATCTCTTAGCATACAACCTCATAAATCAATGCGTATCCTCCGAATGACTCTTTGCCAGGCTGTCTTATTGCAATAACTAACATGACTCTGAAGCCCAAATGCCTGAACAAAGTAAACCATAAAAAATTGAAGTCATATTTATATCAATAAAGTAGTTGCATTCCAATGTACAGACAATTTAATTCACGTTTCCACACTTCTTCTTACTTTCCAGCATAAGCGTTACCGCCACCGCCAGAAGCGTAACCGCCACCGCCGCCGCCTCCTGTAGCGTAACCGCCTCCACCTCCGCTAGGGTATGATGGTGGTGGTGGAGGGACGGGTACCACCGCCCAACGCCGCTCCGCATCCCGATGAAACAGGCACGGACATTGTATGTGACACGGAGAGCGCAAGGAGACGCACGCGAGAGGACATGCAGCTGCATCGCGAGCAGCGAAAATTATGAATAAAATCTTCCAAGTCAATAGCTTAAAAAGGAGCTTCTCCCAGAGAGCAAATAGCGTTAGAGAAATTTACTCACCAGCCGCAGCCACCGCCACCACCACCACCGGTACCGAAGAAGAATGGCTTCTGAAGCTGCAAAGACGGCGAACGCACAGATTGCGTACTTGAACATTCTGAAAATGTGAATATCATGATGAGTAGAGAATAGTGTCTTTCTGAAGGAGTAGAAACATCCAAAAGGGAATGAAAGTGGGTGAGATGCTGCTTTCCAAGAACGGTTCCCTTATATAGCACAGCTATGGAAACATCGAGTTTGTTGCGTAAATCGGTTATCCATGCTAACATGGAACGGCAGTGGTACCGCCTCACATCGGTGTTACATTCCAGTTTGATGGACGTCTTCTTCTCGGATTTTCTACGAAATTGTCGTTGAAAATTTCTTCATCTGACCTGCAACCAGTTAGATCCCCTTCAGTCCATTTACCTTTGTAGACCCTGTGACTTTTCAACAAATCCTCTAGCTGCTGGAATTACCACTATCGTCAAAGTTTGGATCGCTTCCACTAGGTGAGTTGGGAATGCGCGGCTCCAGTGCTGAAATTTGTTACAAAAATAATAATATAATAAACAAAAATAGCAATACTCTAGCCATAGCGGTCGATTTTAAATAAACAATGGAACATAACTTATAGGAGCAAAAATAATGATGTCGAGCGTTAGCGTGACAAGGGGAGAGTAAAAGGCAAAGTTGTGGTTGACTCTTCGGGATGCGCCACGCATTTGACGGCCGTTACACTGGAGTTGGTTTTTGAATGAGTATATACCCAAACAAACTTCCAAAGCATGCTGCATTCCAGACATTGATATCTCGGAGATTCAAGCAGATATAATCATACCTTTTCAATTGAGACAATGCTTCTATTCATCTAGGTGGACTACATATAATCAATTACCACTGTCAAAAGCTTGGAATATTCACCGCTTAGAGGTGGTTCAGGTCCCCAGGTGTGGGAACACCTTTATCAGCTGCTGTGCTTCTAAAATATCACAAAAAGCTCCTATTTGAAGTGTTCAAGTGCAAATTTTGTTCTGCACTTCAGCAAGTTCGGCAGCGAATCGGTATGAAAAGTTTATTTCGTAATAACTTCGATAACAACAGCAACGAACTTTAAAGGCATGCCCCAGGATCGCACTGGTGTGGCTCTTGCACACGAATGTGAATGTATCGGTGCCAAGTGGGCCGGCAGTGAAGAAAAAAGGAAAAGAATCCGTCGAAAACGCTCAGGTTGAGGGCTCACTCACCTTCCTAATTGGCTGTGCTAAAGGAACGAGAGACTAAGCGCGAAGAGGAGAGTATGGGGCGAGAGAGCGCATCAGATGAGAGAGCCCAGACAACGGCCTGATAAGAGAGCTCGTTCGCTGCAGCTCGAGCAGCTTACTTTGCAAGCCCAAAGCGTTCTTGTCGGTCGAATTCCGTGCACGTGAACGCCACATTTGTGATTGTCCCCTAGGGTTCTATACTTCTGACCGAAGAGAAGAGTTCACACGACCTCTGCCTGGGTTGTGCCTTTAAGTGGTAATAATTCGCGTTGCCTCTGAAGGCCTTGGAAAAGCTATGCAACAGTGTCGTGTGCTTCAGTCATGGCCCAAAAAGAACCGTCTCTCCACGTTCAGAGAAAGAGTTTTTATGGCATAAAAAAAGAAAAAGCAAAAAAAGAATCCATACCGACGCCTCCAACGAAATAAAAGCCTATTCGCTTTTATGAACAACTGAATGCTAGCCTTTCACAGAAGCGACTTCGAAAGAATCTGTTAAGGGAGCAAGCTGCAAGATTCTAGCTCAAAGAAGCTCTTGACGACAGACCATTGCAGGCACAACCCAGGCAGAGATCACGTAAAACGCTTCCTTCGGTCTGTAGTGTAGACCCTAAAGGACAATCACAAATGTGGCGTTACGTGCACGGAAACGGAACCAACCGATAAGAGCGCTTGGGCCTTGCAAAGTAAGCTGCCCAAGCTGCAGACTTTTTCTCTTATCAGGCTGTTGTCTGGCGCTCTCTCATCTGTAGCGCTCTCTCGCCTCATACTCTCCTCTCCGCGCTTAGTCTCTCATTCCCTTAGCACAGCCGATTAGGAAGGTGAGTGAGCCCTTAACCTAAGCGTTTTTGACGGATTTTTTCCTTTTTCTTTACTGCCGGCCCATTTCGCAGCAGTACAATCATTCGTCGTGCAACGCCCACACCACTGATCCTGGGTATGCCTTCAAGCGACTGCGATGCTCTCGCGATATGGCTCTTGACAAACCCAGTGGGAGGTCCTTTGAAAACTGTCCAAACAGTCATGTAACCGTAGAAAGGTTAGGGTAAAAGTAAAAGGAACACAACTGCGCGGAAAGCGTAGAGTGCGGTTGCGATTTCCGCATGTTGCAAAGACTTTTGCTCATTAGCAAGCATTCTTGAGGTATCTGTTATGGGGTTTTCTGCCAGATTGTAATGTTGCTCTTCATT